AGATGAAATAGTAGCATTGACTAAAGAGTGTAGCGCAATCATAAAGTAAATGCTTCCTCATAAACTAAAAAATTTAGAGAGTTTCATTGTACCTTGCTCTATATGAAATTCACATAATTTAAATGTTTTAATTGATTCTGGAATAAGTATTAATTTGATGCCACTATCTATCTACAAGAAATTAGGATTGGATGATCCAATAACAATATCGATAATCTTACAACATGCTAATAGAACACTTGAGCGTCCTTATGGAGTGGTAGATGATATGCTCATCAAAGTTAGAGATAATTTCTTTCATACTGACTTCATCATCCTTGTCACAGATGCTCAATACATATCATTAATTTTGGGGAGACCATTCTTATCAACTGCATGAGCATTAATGAATTTTGAAAAAGGTGAAATAATCTTAAGGGTGGAAGAAAAACAACAAAGTTTTACCATGAATGCTCTACTCGAGCAATTACAAGATATTGAGGAGTGCAAAAGGACAGATTATTGGAGAAGTTACAAGAACAAGAAGGAAGAAGATGGGATTGTTGGGTGGGATGACAATGGAAATCTTGAAATCTGGAGGTTCATAGATGAATTGAAGAATAACTACCAGTGCCATCGGTGCAAGGCTGAAAACTCTCTTTTCAAGCCATAATAGTAGCCAAAACAATAAAGCCGAGTTAAAGACTATAAACAAGTGTGTGTTGGGAGGCAACCTAATCTTCTTCCCTTTTTTTATACATTAGGGGAGTGTCTGATAGACATTTTTATGTAAAAATGCATTTTAGAATAGTAAATTGATGTGAAATGTGTGGTTGAGAAATAAGAAAAAGATTTTGATTTACGTGTAATATTATTTTAATAAAGAATGCGTGGTTGAAAAAAAAAAGAGAAAAATACATTTTTAAAAAAATGGCTATCAAACGGGGCCTAGATATAACTTTTCATATTTTTGTGCGTTTAAATTAATTTAGGAATCTTCATCCATACATTAGGATAGTTGATTATGTGTGCAGTTTATATAAGCTCACGGTAGTGCTTGCATTAAGTTTGGGGTTCAATAGAGGAAATAGGTGATTTTGTGTAAATTATAAGTCAGAATAGAGTTTTATACTGCCCTATCACGTTTACTCCCTTTTGACTTTATATCGGGAGCATGACCTATGGGAAGACGATTAAACAGATGCACAGGATGGGTTGAGGTCATGCTCATTAGAAATGAAGCCCTATATAGCATATTGGAAGACATGAATACGAGGGATGAGGTTATGTCAACAGGTTAGAGAGCACACATGGACAGATTGATCAAATGTGTGCTAAGATACGATGCCTTTGCTCTCGATCCACTCATTCGTCGCCATTTACGTCGGACCCATCTAGTTCTACAGCTTTCATGTCATTCCATCAACCGCCCACAGACTAATACCAAGGGAGTACTTTTCTTTGTTCTTACCTTGTGTTTATGACTTGCAATATTTCTGGACATTGGGGACAATATCTATATCAAGTTTGGGGGTGGGAATTTCATCAAGTCTTTTATTTTAAATCGTTGCATGCTATGTGAAAAAAATCAGAAAAATAATTTACTTTTCAGTTTTATTACTTCTTTTATATGTTGTTACATGATTGTGCGGGCTAGATAATCTGCTAATAATGATGAATATATTTGAGTATAGAGTTGGGCTATAAATTATGGATAAATTATGTGTTAAGTTAATTTATGCTTATTCATGTGAAATCGGATATTTATGAACACTAGATTTATGTTTTGCATTATGAAGAAAATTTTGATTCATATTGATGAGTAGGGAAAAATAATGGACATTAGATGTTTAACCTGAACATGTTATAATGTTATAAATTCTTATACCAATTTTAGGATAGTTTGGGGGTGATTGAGTTGTTGTAGGGAGACATAGAAACAAATGTGGATTTCATGTGTGCTAAATTTTGTGTAGATTGTCTGAAACTAATAAAATGAAACTAGGTTAAAATTTTAAGTTAAGAGTCAATTTTTAAGAACAAGCGTTTAGTAAGGGACATTGCACTAATCAAAGAAAAAAAGTGTTATCTTATTGTGAACCTTTTTCTTCGTAGCATTTATGACTTGATTGATTAAGCTTGCAAGGACATTTAAAAACTTGATGTCCTATGGTCATCTGACTTGGAAGTCATCGATCAAAAGCTCGTTTAATAGGGAGGAGTTCCCACAAAAGATGAAAAATTTTTACTGTTGTATGCATTGATTAAGCCCAAACACTTATTGAAGAGAATTAGACTTTTGACAATTGATTATTAGCTTAGTTGATTCTTAGAAGTTGAAGTAATAAAAAATAAGGAGAATCCTAATTTGTCGATGTGTTGGCCTGTAATTAGTAAAATCGAACCAAATTAAAGAGGGTGAGGATTATCATTTTATTGACATTCAACCTTATATCACACCTTGTGAAAAAGTGGAAAGATAAGGTTTTGGAGTGTGTATCTTATGAGCTATGAAAGGAAATATTTGGCTCACAAAGGCTTGCGAATTGAATCAATTTATAACTTTGTGATGCTTTACATGAATCTTCACACACACATCAATTTCGCATTGGATAGATAGAGATTAATTTGACATTGTGATTTTGAAATACCTTATCGTTTCAACTCTAAAAATCCAATCATGAGGCTAAAATCAAATTATCCAACTAAGTTATTTGGGAAAATTTTGTGTCATTGAGCTTTATTTTGTTTGACGACAAAGAATTGTTCAAATTTGTCTTGGAAAAAAAATTAATTATAATAAAATTATCGATTATCAAGAATGCATCAATGAAACTAGTTACATAATTGAAAAATTGAAATAGATAATAATATATGTATTCGTAATCCAGTACACTCATCCCATCCATATACGAAACTCGAATTTTACAAATTTGAGTAAATTAATTAAAATAATCGCAACCATAAATCACTTTTGTTTGGTCGCATTCAATCTGATTAAAGACTAGTATGCTCAATTGAATTTTATCCCTCGTGAGATGATACACGTAATTTATCATGTATTACTTGTCAACGATCTCGTACACTTGCAGGCTCCTCTCTTATTTTCGGTAACAGAGTGGCATGTCCACGAGGAACTCGACCGCCTCTAGTGAAACGTAAAGGCCCCGACATAGAAATTCAAGGAATATATTTCTACATTCAATCACAAGCTTCTTCGTACAAAACGTTCACTCCGCTTCCATTGTCTAGGAGCATAAGGTAAAAAAACATTCTCCAACCATTGTTGCCTAGATAACTATTACCTACTCTCCAGGACCTAGATTTTCACTTTTAGGTTCTATATATTTATACAAAGAGGATAGAGATTGTGGATCACTTGTCTTCCTAACGGTGTACGATATTGTACTTCATTTAATTGATTTACCTTTCAAGTTTCTTATTTTCGTGCTTAAAGTAGCATGTTCCGTCGTTAATGCTTTTCAGGTCTTCCCGCACCTGCTTTGAGCTCGCACTTGTATTAACTGGATAACGGCTAATCTCATTGTTATCATCTTTCAACGCTTTTATCTCCTCCTGCTTTTCTTTTGCTTGAATTTTTTTTTTTTTTGGCAGATTTCAAGTATTTCCTAACTTCAATAGATAGATAGATTCTTTGTTTTCTTTGCTCAGTTTTCACGGACGGTACCAATTTGTTGATGATCGAAATAAGATCTACAAATTCCTCTCGCTTAATCAGAATTTTCTCATCCTAAACTCTCTAGTTTTGATACTCAGATTGGAGTAAGAGGGAAATGACTATTTGGAAGGAGACATTTAATTTTGCATGCCTCCTTCTTTTAGATGAGAGTATTTATGGATTTTCTTGAGCTATGGGTCGTTCTAAAGAATAACAAGTGGCGAGATTTTAGTGGTGGATTGGTAGTTAATTCTGTTACGTATTTACATATTATTCATTTGATTTAGAACTCAAGGATTTTTGCAGTCATAAAAAGGGGATGACTCAACTTTTTTTTTTTTTTTTTTTTTGCGAGCCTTCTTAATTTTAGTTGTCTTCGCATTTTTAGACTTTGCTTAAGGGGGAGGTGAGATCATAGGATAGATTTCTTTGGAGGTATTTATATTGCCATCACAATTTTTATTTGATACATCGGATTTTAATTGTAGTTGAGCTCCTCAATTTTTACTCATTGCAGCAATTATTTTCTTATCTTTTTTTTTGAATTCTTATCTTCAATCTTTCATTAATTACTATGTCTCACCCTCAGTGATGATATATATTAAAATATTTTTGTTTTCATACTTTGAAATGAGGGGAATATGTCTTTTGCACTTTTTATTTATTTATTTTTTGAAGTATGATGGAAAACTTAGTTGTTTCACGTCGTGTTAACGGACTTTTGGATATACAACTGTTATCAAATACAAAATGTGTTAACTAAGATATGAATGACACGAAAAATCATTAAGGACATAAGTATTATAATGAGCAAAGATTAAAAACATTAAATGTAATTAAAATGTGGAGTAATAAATAAAAAATGTGGTGTGAATATAATTACCCTTTTATAATAGACTTTGTGGTGCTATTTACCATTAAGTCCCTGTTTGATTTGATTAGAAAATAATTTTTTTAATGAATACTAATAAAAATTGATTTAATATATGATTAAAATATTAATAGAAGTTCTAAATTTAATAAAATATAATTAAAAATAAATTCTATAAAACTATGGCCAAACAAGGCTAAAAGGCTAAATTTGTCAAACATTGCAAAATATCAAGGAGGACCCCATTTGGTATCTTTTTTTTTTCAAAATTTATTTTTCTCTCTTCTTTTCAATCACACATTCTTCACTAAAATAATATTACACATAAATAAAAAAAATTTCCTTATTTTTCAACTACACATTTTCCATCAATTTACTATTTTAAAATACATTTTTACATAAAAATAGCTCTCGCACACACTATTATTTGATTTGAATCTAGTAAAAGTGCCGATGCGAATCGAAAAAACGCCCGCCTAACGTGGTCTGTTTCTACCCATACAAATCTCTGTCTAGAACCACCACTTCTCCATTAGGCCACACACAGTAACCGCCTTCTCCTCCTCCTCTCTTCGATCGTACGGATTATTAATACTTACAATAATCCCCATATATCGACACATATCTCTCCCCTCACCCACATGTAGAGAGAGAGAGAGAGAGAGAGAGAGAGAGAGAGAGAGAGCTGTAAACTGCTCTTGTTGTGGAGAGATAAAAATGGGAGGGGAGAGTACTTCAATGGGTGCGCTGGTGCCTATAGTGAAGTCCGAACCGGAAAATTCTTCCGGCGAAGCTCCTCCAGCTCAGCCTATGCCTTCGATACCGATGGAGGAGAAGGGGCAGGGGGTAGAAGAGCTGGATAAAGATGTTTTGTGCCCGATATGTATGCAGATCATTAAGGACGCGTTTTTGACGGCGTGTGGGCATAGTTTCTGCTATATGTGCATTGTTACTCATCTTCAGAACAAGAGCGATTGTCCTTGTTGCTCTCACCACCTCACCACCAATCATCTTTACCCTAACTTCCTACTCAACAAGGTTTACTCTTTTATGATTTTTTTCCTCGAATGCTAGGATTTCTCTAATGTAAATTAAATTTTGCTGTTTCGATATTTTTTCGTTTCTTCGGGGCTACATTTGTTATTTAAACCGTGTATTTACATATTTATTTGTTACCCATTTTTTTCAAAATGCTTTTTTTCTCTCTTCTTTTCTTTTGGACGAACGTTAAAATAATATTTCACTTAAATCAAAAAAAATTCCTTACTTTTTTAACCACACATTTTTCGTCAATTTACTATTCCAAAATACATGACCACCAAACACCTTGGTAGTATGTCAATATTTTACTAGAAATTTAAATTAGGCCCCAGTGGAATCGGAGTACTGCCTCTGCCAATGCTGATAAATTTTCCAGAAAGAGAAAAATGTAAAGTGACTACCAAAGCAGAATCTCATCATAGAGATCCACTTGCAAGTGAAAATATAGATAGTTTTAGAAAGACAACGTTTCTGCTGTTTTGTTTTGATTTCTGCCAATTGTGGCTAACTAGAACTTTGGGAAATGGCCCCATTTTTAGTTTGTTTGACTGGGGTTAATTGAGTACTGTTTAATACTCATGTTCCAGGATGTTGTTGGATGTAAGGAAATTTTTTACTGAACTGGAATTATGAAAGTAAACATAAGAAAAGAAAATAAAGGGAAGAATCATAATTCTCTTCCATGCATGTAATATGAAATTAAAAGTTGTTCCTTGTTCCATAATGTTGTAACAACTGGAGGATATGGTTATCGAAATGCCATTATTGCTAGAAAATATTCGGGGTCGGACTCTTCATTTTTCCTCATAAAGGTGATCCTTACTAATTAATCATTCGTGCTTTTTATGTGGAAGACAACAACAATCTAAGCTTTGTTCCTAATAGACTTCGGTTTTTCTGCATAAGTCCTTTTTTGTCATTCCATTCCAATCTAAAGCTAACTCTTGTGAAGATGCCAGTGAAATCAAATCTTTTGCAACGGACTTTGCTTTGAAAGAAGAATATTTCACTAGAATAGATGTTATTTTCATAAAAAGTTTCATGTTCAATAAGTGCCAATCTACTGATCTCACAAGCATTGTGATCATAAAGTAACCTGACATGGGAGGTACACGATTCAAAATTTCAATGATTGAAAGATGAGGAAATGTATTTGTCGGAAGAGTAACTAACACCATTAATATTAAAAACTTATCCTAGACATGGTCATGTTACACTGCTATTAAAAACTACGAGTTAAAAAAAATCTATGATCAAACTCTGGTCACATAGTTAGTCATAAGTGAAAACTGAATGATCGCCAGAGGCTCCTTCAGTAAGTTTTTCAGGTGCCATAATGGTAATTGGAATTTATGACATATAGAAAATGGAGGTGCATTTTCCTTATAATTGCTGAGTTAGTGAGTTTCCTAACTTACAATTTTAATGCTTCTGAATATTTCTAGTCTTGTTATGCAAGACTATTTAATCTTCCACTGAGCTTATGGTGATATATGTCCAAATTCTATAGTTATTGATGAAGACATCTGCTCGTCAAATAGCTAAAACTGCCAACCCTCTGGAACAACTTCGCCACACTCTAGAGCAGGTCAGTTTTATGTATGTACTGGAACTGTTTCTTATTTCAATTTTGCCGTTTTTCTGATGAAATTGCCATAATAATTTATTGCTTGTCACCTTGAAAGTATGAAATTTTCAATTTTTCATTCTTGAAACTAGTCTCTTACAATATTTAGGATGCTGTGCATGGTAGAGGTATATGTGCAGGAGGCATGGATTCTTACCTACTGATTTATGGTCTTGAGTACATAATTTTCTAGTAATCCTCATGTTTGCAAAAGTACATTGGTTTTAATGGCTGTTAGCGCTATTGGAGGCAATAGTGTATTATAGGAGGGTTGGTCTCAACAGCTGACCTTCCTAGTTTATAGAATTGTACGTTTTTCACAAAATGTTAATTTCAAAAAGGATCTTCTTGAAATATGATTTTGCCTCCCCCAACCACCAAGTAAGTAAGGAAATATAATACAGCCCCATTAGATATTTATGAAACCTGTGCTGCCACCCAAGCTGTGAGTTATGGATCCACTACTAGTTGGAAGGTGATAGGCTATTCGTAAGAAATGTGGGATTATTTTGCAATTAAATACTTTTTATTGCTAGGTGAAGGGATAGTTTTTGGTATTCAAGTCAATTAGGTAGCAAATTTGTTTCCACAAACCAACGACTAGTCCATTTGATTATCGTCCAAACTATTGATCTTAGCCCACATCACTTGCTTTCTTTAATTACATGAGGGCATAAGTGAAAGTAAAGACATTGGCATGACAATGCCAATTCGAACATGATTTCATAGAAGACTTGGAAAACTCAAATGCAATTACAATTTCAATCATACAGGATAATGCTTCATTGAGTACAATAGTGGCAATCCTGCCTTCAAAATATTACACATTCATAATCCAACTTAGTCAATAGATAATAGTTAAACAACAGTCATTACAGTTGCTACATGAAGACACTGATAACTAAGTCGATATAATGCTACATACACAGATTTTATGTAAAAAATCGAGAGCAAATTTTGTTCAACAAATCAGGTCGATCGCTTTCCTTTCGAATTCGCTTCGGCAGTACAACTTGCCTTGCATATTTTCACATTCACTGAAATGTATAGGTCTTCTTCATCATTGAAGTGAACTCGACATTCAAATTTTTGTGACATTTTTCAATGTTTTCATTCGTCAAAAGGTTAACTAATGAAGCATTATTGCTGGACGATTGGCTGTTTGATTCTTCTTTGACAACCCAATCCCAAAATTTGCAATTCTTTGTGCAACAAAAAAATAATCGCCCTTTATTAGCTGTCTGCTTCTCCACCTCGAAACACTTCATAAATCCATGCTTGCATTCCAGGCATCGGTGCTTCCTTGGGCATTCAGTAAAGTAATGACCCTTAGCTCTGTAAGTATGACACATGCTATTATTTTTCCCCCCATAATTGCACTATTAAATCAAATGAATTCAATATCACTATAACTAATGAAACCACCTCAATATTGAACAACATATATAGTTATAAGTGAAATATCACAGAGTCACTACACCAAAAAAGGG